CGGTTTCTCATCGTTAACGTACCAGAAGTGGTGCCAGAAATTGCGCTTTAGAGCGATTCAGGATTGCCAGGGCGCAACAATTACGCTGATTCGCGGTGTTGCAGCCCCAAGAATGGTACCCTGGCACGGTTCATGATCATGAAAACGCAACACTCAGACTGATTCGTGGCTTGAAATCCCGAGGATGGTGTTCCGGCGCAGATCAAGATTTTCAAACGATTGTCTCCCAAAAGGGCACTTCACTCAGTGGAAATGAATCCGTGTAGAGGCGTATGAAAGAGGGGGCTTAGAGGGAGGCCTTCTTCCAAGATCGTGGATGCCTTCTTCCAAGATCGTTGATGGGTCTTGGGTTTACACTGGACCTCCTCCTCCGCCTGCTCCTCCTCCTCCTCCTTCTCCTCTTAAAAACGATGTGTTGGGAGGTGATTCGAACATTTTGAATCTTTCGGCCCCTCAGATGCCCCCCCCCTTCCTCTCCGATGCCGTCCTGGGCCTCCCTTCGGATCTCCAAGCGTACCCTCGACAACTGACTTGAACAGGCCCCAGGCTCCCAGGCTCTGAAGCGTTTCGGCGGATTTTGGATGCTCCAGGCGTGGTTGCGTGATACGCGATCCCTAGCCAGCAAAACATAACTGCCCATGTTGGTCATAGATTGGCAACTCTCTATTGCTAGATGATGAAAGAGCGGGGGGGGGCTGGGAAGGGGCATGCCACTCCTCGACATAAGCCCTGCCCCTATTTGTGGCCACTGTGATCGCCGCGGCGACCTCCAAAACCGACATGGAGGTCCAGTTCGGGGTCGGAGATTAGGTGGGAGGCGGGGGTAGGGTTCAGATTTCGCGGCGACTTCCGAACCCCATCCACGCCGCCCATCGAATTGCCTGATTCGTGGATCGGTATAACTCTGCCGCCGACGGATATCACGCATCGGAACGGGATGGGGCCAGGCGAGGAAGGCAAGAACGGGCGCCGCCGACGACGACGACGACGGCGGCGACGACCGAAGCCGGCTACGAAGACGACAGCGACGACGATGGCGACGGCGACGACGAGGACGAGGACGAGGACCACAACGACGGCGGCGACGACGATGCCGATGCCAACGCCGACGCCGACGCCGACGCCGGCGCCGACGCCGATGCCGACGCCGACGCCGACGCCGACGCCGACGCCTACACCGCCGCCGCCGACGATGACGACGAGGGCGAAGGCGAGGACGGGCGCGCGTCCAAGGAGGCGACGGCGGGGGGGTGGGACCGTGGCCCCACTCTGGGAGCGCACTGTGTTTGGGTTCACGCTGGCAAGCATGCGTGTGCGCACACGAAAGCTTTGCGCCTGCCAGCGTGGACCCCCAACATGTCAGCTGTTGCAATCTGGATGAGCACATCGGCTATGTGGTACAGGCGACGTGATACAACCTACTTGGTGCAACCTGTGCTATCATAATCATCGCCATCATTACCGAAATCGTCATCACCACCATCATCATCACCACCACCATCGTCATCACCATCATCAAAAATCATCATCAGTACCATACTGGCCATCGCCACCACCATCATCATCACCATCATCATCATCATCGCCATCACTACCACCGTCATCGCCGTCACAGTCCACATCATCACCATCATCATCATCATCATCGCCACCAACACCAATATCGTCACCACCACCATCATCATCACTAACGGCGCGATCACCACCATCATCACCACCAGCACCCGGTCGGCTTCACCATCATCGTAACCATGGTGAACAGCATCATCATCATCATCATCATCATCATCATCATCATCATCATCATCATCATCATCATCATCATATTCATCATCATCATCATCATCATCATCTTCTTCTCCATCATCATCATCATCGCCAATATCACTCCATCCTCGTCGTCATCATCAACATCACCATCACCATAAGCATCATCATCATCATCATCCAATACAGGGAGAGCATATCCAGAAATTTCCACTTTGGTCGATTATGGGCCACCGGCGGCGTTCAACCTTGAACGCCCGCGGTGGGGGCGCAGCCGCGCCAACACGACACGAACTTACCTTTCCAGCGACTCCCATCATCACCACCCTCACCGGCACCATTATTATCATCATCGTAATCAACGACATCAAAATATTCATCACCATCACCACCATCCTCATCACCACCATCATCACCATCACCATCATCATAACCATTCTTATCATCACCCCTGCATCATCATCCACGTCGTAATGCTCATCCTCACCATCACCTTCACCAGTATATCTATCTCCATCACCATCATCATCACCACCATCACCATCATCATCACCATCAACATCATCATCAGCACCATCATCATAATGATCACCAACACCAACAGCAACATCAACAACAACAACAACAGCAACAACATCGTCATCATCACCACCACAACTGCCACCACCATTATATCGTCACCACCGCCTCCACCATCATCATCAGCATCATCATCATCACACGAATGCAAACCCATCGGAAGCGGCGCCGTCGATCCCACGCCCATAAATGCCTCTAGGATCGGGCTGCGCCCGACCATAAGTATGCGATGCGCGACCGTGCATCTCGCGGCTTGCACCTGCTCGCAGTCACTGCCGCGATGTAGCCTAAGAGCAGCGCCCTGATCGGCCGTGCTCCAGCTCGCGGAAAACCCTGAACCCCTTCTGGGCTCTGACCGAAACTGTGTGACTCGAAGCTGCACGGGTCCCTGGCGCCGAGGCAGGCCTCCTCGGAGGCCTCGAATCCCGCGGGTGGTCCTCCCACAAGCTACGCGACTCATTCGGGGGCGGGGGAGGAGGAAGAGGAGGAGCGGGGGAATCCGAAAACGGAAGGGGAGTGGGGGTCTCCTGGGTTCTGAGGGCGGCCTGGCACAGCCTACTTACCATCTCAGAATGTCGTCGTCGTCTCCCCTCGGGCCTCTCGAAGGCCATGTCCTCTAAGTTCAGTCGAACATCGCCCCGTCGAGCTCCTGGAAACCTGTGTGGGTCAATCTCTCGAGGTGGCCCATCGGGGCCACTCCCTGCTTGTAGTCTGCTCCCGCCTGGATTAGCGAGTCCAGCACGGGGGCCATGTTCAGCCTGACGCTGAACGCTAGTATCAACTTCACCTTCCCCTCCTCGTGGCAATCCGTGATCTTCGCCAGCCGGGCCACCTCGCCCATCTCGGCGACCGTCAGCTCTGCCTTCTCGCTCGCCAAGGTCTCTATGTTCTGCTAGCTCACGCGCCCTACCGCGTTGCTCTCGGAGAGGAGCCTCTCGAACGCGCCTGCATAGCACGCCACCGAGACTGTGCACATTTGCTTGTGATCTTCTCGTCGCTCTGCTGCTTGTTGTTGTTGTTGGCCCTGCTGTGTTCTGCTGTGCGTATCCACGCGCGTACTCGCCCCCTCGCCTACAGTGCCGGCTGCAACCCCGACGACAAGATGAATGTCTTCAACTCGATCGACTCGATCCGCCGCTGCCGCTGGGCCAGGTTCAGCAGCAGCCGTATCAGCACAAGGAAAAACTTATGCGTCTTGGCTGCGTCCATCTCACCGTCGTCGAGCTCGCTCAGGTCCGCTATCTTGGTGTCCTTCTTCTTCCTCGGCATCTGGTCGTTCGAGCCCTTGCCTCTGGTGCTGTCTGCTTTGCCCCCAGAGCCTTTGCGACCACCTCTGGCAGCCTTCCGCGCGCGGCCCTCGGCGTCGCCCTTCTCGCTGGTGTCTGGCAGGCCCTGCATCCACGACACGAGGCCGTGGATTCGGAAGGTGACTGCTACAGGTATGCTTCTGAAGAGAGGTGAGATCGTCGAACTCCGCTCCGCAATCCGTCTCGGGACAATCAAGTAGCTGCGGAAGGACAACGGGATGACTGTAGACTGAGCGGTATGCGATGCATCTTCCATGCCGGTAAGCAGCCGTGATGCGATTAATGGCAGAGCGGCGGCATGCGAACGTCGGTAGGCACGAGGGGCATTGATTTGTCACCGTCAGGCGCGTAAATTCAACTTGCCGTGCTCTCCTCCTCCTCCTCCTCCTCCTCCTCCTCCTGTGTGTCTGGTGCGTTCTGAGGGCTCCCATGGTTCTGAATCTTCGATTGCATTTCATCCCCTCCCCATCCAGACGAGAGCACTAACAGCTACCGTCAGGCGAGCGATGCGAGATGATGACGAGGCACAGCAGCTACGTGACGAAATGGCGGACGCACTAGGACAGCTACTACGGGATGACGGATACCCGGAGGTAGACGCGTGGATGAGGCAACATACTTTGGAGTCGGCATAGGAGGCAATTGTGACTACGATTCAGCGTAGAGCGCAGCAGAAGTACGGTTCTACACCACGACACAAACCACATTGGTACGTACGACTAATACGTGTGCGGGAGGCTGCGCTACGGGCGCGCACCGGAGCCTGTAATACGCTGGACGACGAGCTGGATAATGTACGACGACTGCGACAGTGTACGCGACGATGCAAGCAGGCCAGGATGGACATCAAGATGGCGCGCCAGCGAGAGCTCAACCAGGAACTGGAGGAGGCGATCCGCACCAATAGGGAGGGCGTGGCGTGGCGCAACAGTTTTCAGATGGCTGGAAATGGGCTGGCACCACGAACGTGGAATCACTACATCTCACCAAATGCGCAGCCAGGCTTGCAGACATGGACGGAGGACCTGGCCCTACTTGGAAGTGAAGGGGGGGTGGAGGCGACACCTGTAATGACCGAGGACTTCATCTCCACCGTGTCGGCCCACGACTACCAGTTTCGCCCCGACATGGAGCACTGGAAGATGGCGAACAGTGACCTGGATGAAGTCGTACAGCAGCTGCGCAGAGGACGCCCCCTCCCCCTCCCCCTCCCCCTCCCCTCCTCCTCCTCCTCCTCCTCCTCCTCCTCCTCCTCCTCCTCCTCCTCCTCCTCCTCTCCTCCTCCTCCTCCTCCTCCTCCTCCCCCCCTCCTACTCACACCCTCCCCCTCCTCTCGCCGCAGGCAGCCTCGAAGAGGATGTAGGGGAACGCCACGAGCAAGCCCACGGCGACCGCCGCCTGGAGATAGGTCGGGCTGGGCCCTCCTGCACCTCTGCTCCTCCTCATCTTTGCCCTCGCTCTTTCATCTTCTCCTCCTCCTCCTCGTCCTCCTCCTCCTCCTGGTCGTCCTCTTTCCCCTCATCGTCTTGGTCCTCCTCCTTCTCCTCCTCCTCCTCCTCCTCCTCCTCCTCCTCTTCGTCCTCCTCCTACTGCTCCTGTTCCTCCCCTTCCCGCTCCTCGTCCTGTGCTCTAGTTTGTGTCATGGCGTCGCTGCTTCCCGAGACGAGACGTGGGCTTCCCGTCGTGGCTGGTCCCAGTTCGGGACAGGAACCGTATCTATTATTTGCGCGTGTCGTGTTGCCCAGACCCCTAAAAGGGCGACCGATCCAAGAACTGGCGGGCCAACCTCGGCGGCGAGCCCGGGGGGAAATGAGAAGGGGCGGGCCTTCTCAGAAGGCTCGGAAGTTCATGGGCCTTCTGAGAAATTTCCTGAGCCTTCCACGAAGACACAGACAACTTCTGAGAAAACTGGAGGGCTTCTGAGAAGCCCCACCGCCTACTGAGAAGGCCTCCTCCTTCTCACTTCTCCCCCCGGGCGCGCCGCTGAAAAAAGCGACCGACCCAAGAGCTGGCTGGCCAACCGCACAAAACCGGCGGGCGACCACGCCAACCCTGTTGCCATGGGAGAACTGGGTCCTGAAGAGAAACAGCCGCCTGAGGTTTTTCGCCGTTTTCAAAGTTCTCGGGGATCCCCACGGGCCCCAAGACTGTTCAAAAACGACGCAGGATGGAAAACTCGTCCCAGGGGAAGGCACAGGGGTCCGGGACCCGTTTCCCTCAGGACCCATTTCCCCCATGCGAAGTTCCTGGAGGGGCGGGGGGGAGCGCAGACGAGCCACAACCTGGGGAGCTGTGCTCCTTATCCCTGTGGGGGGTCCATCGGCCTCGACACCCCTCCGTCGGGAGATTGTCGATGCGATGGGTTCCTCCAGGGGCACAGGCCAGAGTTCAAACCTCCCCCAGCGGTGGCTGGTCGGGAAGGGGGGGGAATCTGGCAACAAATCACGGGAGAATTGTATACCGTCGCAATTCTGTGTTTAGAGTGCACTGGCGTCGATTAGCGCCTGACAGTCGAGGAGATAGCGCCGACTTAGCGTCGATGAGTGTCGATTTAGCGCTGATTCGCAAGAGCCTACAAGATGGTCTGGGAAGCTTCCACGAATTGCCACCGAAGGTGGATGCGGATGCTTTCCCGCCCTCAGGGGGCGGGCAAATGTCCACGTCCTCAAGGGGATTCGGGAAGACCCGTTTCCATCAAGACCCGTTTCCCCCATGCCAGGACCAGCGGGCGACCAGCCCGGGAGAAGAAAGGCTTGGCGCCCCCGAAGTCTTCGTGCCGTGGAGGCGGGGAGCTGGACCCGCACGCGCTCGGGCGCATCGGCCACCCTCCCCGGCGGGGCGGAGGGGGAGGAGGGTCGGGAGCGAGGAGGGGGCGGCAGCAGAGGGGGGAACAGCAGGAGGAAGCCAGGAGCAATGGACAGGCGCGTACCACTACTCTCAAAATGAGCTACTCGCACATGGCCTGGATCCGCCGCGGGGGATCTGCGACCCATTTCATCGAGGTAAACATGTTTTTTTGTTTTGTGCGTGTGTTTGTCGGACGTTTGGAGAGCAGGCAGTGTGCGAGTAGTGGAACGCACTCGGTGAAACAAGAGAGGGCCGGCGAGCGGAACAGAAGGCCAGGGCTCACGAGCCCAGGCGGCCTTCAGGGAGACGAAGAAGAACTCGCCAGGGGCCAGCTGGACAAACTTCACCACGCCGCTCACCTGCTGCCCCCTCCTGGCCGCCTCCTCCCCAGACCCCTGACGCCATGATTTTTTCTCAACGTCGACCCCGCTCTCCAGGACTGGTTTTTACACTCCGTCGCTTTTTGATGGTCCTGGGGCCCGGCGAGGGCACCCGGAAGCCGAAAATTGCCAAAAACCGCCCGTCGAGTTTTGTTCACGACTCGAGGGGGTCTGGGTCTCGGTCCTCTCCTCCACTCTCCCCTCCTCTCGGCCATCCCCTGCTCTCGAGGCGTCCAAGAGTGGGGCGTTCAAGAGCGGGGGTTCGCAAAATCATGGGCCGAGGTACGTGCGCAGACGAAGAGGGGCCAGGGGACGTATTGAAATCCGACCTGCTTGGGGCCTTGCTCCAGATCGCCCTTTAACTGAACGCAGGGCGTCTCTGATAAGAAGAGAGGACCATGACATCAGGGGACGTTTACGATATCTGCTCCCGCCCAGTCCTCGCCCCCGTCTTGGCCGCCCCCGACGCTCTACTCGACGACTCCTGAGGGCGTGGTTCGCAACCCGCGCCCTTGGGGGCGGGCGGGGACCTCCACAAAGTTCTCCGCTGCGCCAGGGCGACCCGACAAAGGCAACGCATTGACCCCCAAACCCCAATTTACGCAGATCGCAAACAACACACCTGGCGTCACCACACCCCCTGTAATCGCCGACAAATGTCCCCGAGATGGTTCATCCGAGCCTCTCCAGCAAAGCCCGGTAGAACCACTGCGCCCAAGGTGGGCCCGAGTTCACCGCAGGGACCCTGTCAGGCCCCCAACCCGGAGGCCTTCACGATGCCCCAAAGAAGCCTCCCGTGTGCCTTTCAGAGGGGCATGGGCTCCACCTCCCTCCTCCTCCTTCTCCTCCCTCCTGCCTCCTCCTCCTCTAGACGAGCGCGTTCCACTACTCGCAAAGTAACTACTCGCAAATGGCCTGGATCCGCCGAGGGGGGATTTACGATACATTACATCAAGGCAGACATGTGTTGTTCGCACGTTTGCGAGTAGGCACTTTGCGAGTAGTGGAACGCGCTCGGTGATCCTCCTCCTCCTCCTCCTCCTCCTCCTCCTCCTGAAGTATCAGGGTGCACCGCCGGGAGGCGTCCACGCCTGCAGCCAACCGCTAGAGTCCTGCGCCAATTCCCTGGGGAGCGGTGGACACAGCTGCTCTTCTGCCTGGGGGCGGAGAGATGACCACCCAAACATCCTTTCTGGTCCGCGGCCGTCAAGGTTCGCGAGACGGTCAGGCGCCGGTCAAAGCGAGCGGTGGGCTGCAACCAAAGCTGATACAGGCACCAAGCGGGGCCCCGTAAGGCTGCTTTTGTAGCCAGCAGGGGCCCGAAGCGGGCCTTAAAGGGACCCCTTTGAGGGCCATGTTCTCCACCCTCCATTTAGGTCACCCCCCATTACCACCCGCCCGAATGACCACCTGGACATCCGACGCTGCGATTTTTGTCACCACGTGGCTCCCCAGAGGTCTGCCCCCCTGCCCAGAAGCTGACCTTCCATCCCGAGTCGCTCTGTGACGGTCACGGGGCCCAGCGAAGGCTCCCAGAGGCTGAAAACGGCAAAACAAACCACGTCGTTACACTTTGACGGCGCGAACTTGCCACATGTCCAGGTCGAGCATGAAAACAACAAAGCTTTGCGTCGTGATGTCAAGGCACATCCACCACTCCTCGTCACCGTCACCGTCACCGTCACCGTCACCGTCACCGTCATCGTCATCGTCATCATCATTGTCGTCAACGTTATCGTCATCGTCATCATCATCGTCGTCGTCGGCACATCCACCACTCGCCGAGAAGTCCTCGAGACCCCTGGGGCGCGGCTCCGAGACGGTGGGCACGGACGTCTTCTGGCGGTGGGCGGAGAGCGCCCATGCGCTCGATCCTCGATCCTCCTCGGTAGCCCTCCTCGATTTTCGACTCGATCCTCCTCGATAGTCCTCCTCGTTCCCCCGCCTCGATCATCTTCGTCGATCCCCCGCCTCGCTAATCCTCCTCGATGATCTGTCCTCCTCCTCGACGGTCCTCCCCGATAACCCTCCTCGATGATCCTCGTCGACCTCCGCTTCCCCCCGAGGACGCGGGGCTGCCTGCGCGGGAGACTCCATGATGGTCGTCAGCTCCTCGAGGGAGCGGGAGGGGGGGGAGGAGCCCGCTCTCCTGCTGCTTCTCCCCCTCCTCTTCCCGTCGCCCGCTCGAACGTCCATTCCCCGTGCTTTCTTCGGTTCCGTGCGTGTTTTTTCTGGCTCGATGATCCAGGATGCTCCTCCGTGGTCCTCGCCGAGAAATGTGCACACGTCCGAGCGATGCTAAGTCCTCAAGACGAAGCCAGGACGAGGCCAAAACCAGATGTAAATCGAGAATCTCTGAGAATCGGCGGGTTTGAAGGATGTCTCGGGCGACGCGGCCTTTTCAAAACGTTCCAGAACGCTCTGAGAGCGTTGCGGAACGCTCTGGAACGGATTTATCCTCGCCCCAGCCCCGTCCGATCCTCCTCCTGCCCTCGAACAAGACCGTCTTCGCTCAAGAAGTTCGGCCCCGTGTCTCTGAGAACCAGGGCCGGACGCGCCCTCAGAACTCGACTCGTCTCTGAGGGCCCTCGCGGCGACAGCCTTGACGACAGGATTGGGGCCTTGACGAAGGCCCTCGAAAATGTCCTGCTCCTCCTTGATGGGGCATTCGGGATCTCTCTTCGCCACGATTGGGTGCGGCTCGGAAAACGGGGGGGGAGGCGGAGTGGTACCTAGAGAGCGTCTGGGGACGGGCTTTCAACGGGTTCAGGGTTGGGGGAGGAGGGCGGGTTGAAGGAAGGCCCGACCCACGTAAGACTGAAGACAAGGGGGAATGCCTTAGGTATCGTGCCAAGCCGCAGTGCTCTTCTCGGTACAGGTAAGAATTTACTATGCTATCGGCCGTTCCCTTACCAATAAAAGAAGCATCGCGGGGTAAACAAACTAAACGTCCTCGAGGTGTGCTAAACATGAACCCGTTTCGTGTAGGCCTCCTTCGCGGCATTCCGCTTCACCCGAGCGTGTTCCACAAAGGTGTGCCCCGTGGCGGCCTTCCTCACAATGTAAGCGTGATCTGCAGATCTGTGCGTCATGGGAATGGCGCTGCGCAAACGTCTGCGTCGCGGAGGTCTGCCTCGCAGAAACGTGGCTCGACCTTCCGTCGTGCACCAAACACCCGCATGTAACTAAGGACGCGCGACGCCACACCAAACGCCAGAGGAAAGAACGCGATAGCACATCTCCGTCCGTGACCTCAAGAGCTAGGGTCGCTCGACACCAGCTTCGCACGCACGACCACGCCACTGAACACAACGCAGACTTGCGGGCGGCACAGACCTGATGGAGCTTTCCGCCCATAAGTCTCCAACACATGAGATAACTTGTCCACTGTCACTCGTTGAACCAATGGCTGCAACATTGAATGGACAATTGGTACGTTCACTTGGCTGCTGCAGCAAGACAAGCGACTTGCATATTCGGAGCAATCGGACACGATATTGATTATGTTAGACCCGAGCTCGATCGATGGCAGTTGCTCCATTAGGGAAGCGAGCAATGACGTAAACATAAACAAACTCAGAGGTCCGCGCGGACCTCCGAATTCTCATGTTTGTGTCATTGTTTTTTCCCCGACCACTCCATGACGACAATCCCTCCACTGATGTCGGCACAGCAGCACACCAGGGCGCCGTGCTGCACGCTCGCTGGTCCTCGTGGTCCCCCTTCCCCCTCCTGCTGCTCAAGCCCCGCCGCGCGATGGCAAGCGCCAAAGCTCTGTGTGTGCCCGCCCTTGACAGAGGGCCTATGACAGGAAAACAGACAATGACATGAAAAAAACAACTAAGAGGTCCGTGCGGATTTCTCGGATCGGCGCTGGACACCTCTCACTGGCGCGCGGAGCGGGCCAGGGGCGGCGCCAGAGGCGCCGCCAGGGGGCCCCAGCGCCAATCTGAGGAATCTGTGCGGATCTCAGAATTGTTATTTGTTTATGTCACTGTTCGTTCCCTTACATGGAGTCTGCCATCGATCGAACTTGGGTCTAACACAAACCATCTCGTAATCATGGGACTGCTACGACTATGCCGGTCACCTTTCCTGCTGCAGCAGCCAACGTGAATTTACCAATTGTCCATCCGATGTTGCAGTCAGTGGTTCAACAAATGATAGTGGAACTTCGAATCGTTATGTTCATGTCATTGTTCGGTCCCCCAATGATAGCACGCGGCCGCAGGCGGGAGGAACCTGGAGGGATGAGCCGAGGCGTGTTCAAGGCTGCGGCTGTGCTGTGCGTCAGGGGTGGCTGAGCCGATGACTCGCTCGGGCATCTAGCTTCGCGCTTCGCGCTCCGCGAAACGCGATTATCTTCGTGCTTTCGCGCCGTCCCCCCACGGAACAGGATGAGGGACTCGCGCCTCGCTCTGAAATCGCCCAGACCGCGATACGCGACCAACTTCGCACCGTCGTGATGGCCCTAGCCTCTGCACAGAACATCCATTGCCGAAGGCTCGATATAGGCAAACTGCTCCTGAGGAAGGATCTGATAGATCCCAAAGACATCCCACATGGCATTCGGCTGCACAGTGGCGCGAAATGGATGCGCCCCAAACCTGCTAAGGACGTTGTCCACAATCATTGAAAGATGAGCTGTGGCGGCTCAACCAAGTTCCAAGCCGTTGATCATACAAAGCGCAGTGCGGATGGCAAGGGAGGGGATCCGCCACCGCTCCGCTGGGCACGGAGTGGGCGTGTCCTCAGGTCCTTTGCGCAAACCCCCTGAGCCGCAGTCCTCAAATCCTGTGAGCCTCAGTCCGCAGCCCTGAAGATTTCTTCAGGGGCACTCCGAATTCTCAAATCTTCCGGGGCTTGGCGCGCTTCCCCTGGGCCTTTGGATCGTCTCCCCGCGTAACTTTTTGGGGCCCAAGAGGGCGCCACAGCGGGCCTAGAGGGCCGCAAGAAGCCCCGAAGACTGTCCAAGAGGGCCTCGAATCGCCGAACGATCGCTCCAAGATGGCCTCAAGACGGCCCAGAAGCCTCTCAAACGCCCCAAGAGGCGTCCCAAGAGGGACCCAAGAGGCAAAAGGCGCTTGCTTTCCTTGTTTTTTGACGGATTTAGGCCTTCTCGCCTTTTCGGCTTCCCGACGCTCCAAGACTGCCCAGGAGACCCCCAAGATCGCCCCAAGACGGCCCCAGAGGCCCCCAAGACGGCCCACGAAGGGCTCAAGACGGCCCAATAGAGTCCAAATACGGCTCCAAGAGGGCTCCGAGATGTGGAGCCCGAGATGACATTTCGAACCCTGGACCCCGAGGAGCCCCCAGGAAGCCCCAAGAGGCCTCCAAGAGGCCCCCAAGAGGCCCCCAAGAGGCCCCCAAGAGGCCCCCAAGAGGCTCCCAAGAGGCCCCAAAACTACCCCCAAGAGGCCCCCGAAGGAGACCCCATGAAGCATACCTGAGAACTCGCACCCACAACCCTGGCACGGTGGCGGGATGGGCCGAAGGCCATTACATACACAATGGAAGAACCGCGGGTGCGTACACCTTCTGTACCAGGCGCTGCCGGCGGTACTCGCACTACTTTCCCTCGCGGGTTGACTGACACCCTTGCGGCAGAAAACCCTAAACAGATTGCCACATTGGCCCACCATCAGCATCCTGGCCCTTACTTCTGCCGCTACTGCGACTACTGCTACTATTGTTACAACACTAATGCGACTACTGCGACTACTACACCTGGTCCTGCTACTACTAGTACTACTACTCAACCTGGTACTGCTGCTACTACTACTACTACTACCACTACTACTACTACTACTACTACTACTACTACCACTACTACTACTACTACTACAACTACTACTACTACTACTACTACTACTACTACTACTACTACTACTACTACTACGACTACGGGTACTACTACTACTACTACAACTACTACTACTACTACTACTACTACTACTACTACTACTACTACTACTACTACTACTACTACTACTACTACTACTACTACTACTACTACTACTACTACTACTACTACTACTACTACTACTACTACTACTACTACGATGGCGACTGCTAGTACTACGACTGCTGCTACTACAACTACTACGACCTCGACTACGAACGACTACGACTACGACTACGACTACGACTACGACTATGACTATGACTCCAAGTACGCCTACTACTACTTCTACAACTACAACTACACTACTACTACTACTACTACTACTACTACTACTACTACTACTACTACGACTACTACTACTACTACTACTACTACTACTACTACTACTACTACTACTACTACTACTACTACTACTACTACTACTACTACTACTACTACTACTACTACTACTACTACTACTACTACTACTACTACTACTGCGAATACTACTACTACTACTACTACTACTACTACTACGTCTACTACGTCTACTACTACTACTTGTATTCGTACTCGTACTCGTTCTCGTACTGTTACTGCTAATCGTTCTACTACTACAACTACTGCTGCCTACGACGACGACGACGACGACGACGACGACGACGACGACGACGACGACGACGACGACGACGACGACGACGACGACGACGACGACGACTACTACTACTACTACTACTACTACCACTACCACTACTACTGCTACTATTACTACTACTCCTACTACTACCAGCACTACTACTACTACTACTACTACCAGCACTACTACTAATACTACTAGTGCGACTGCTACTGATACCTCTACTATTACCACTGCCTGTAGCTGCAATACCAGGCGTCCTACTACAAACTACGCCCACGAATCATACGACCACTAACACTGGCTTGTAGACAGTCCGCTACGACGACGATTGTTCTTACTACTATCACGACGAAGACGACGATTACCACCACGACTACTACTTCTACGACGACGACTGTATATCTATATATATATACATTCTAAACAAAATCTGGTACGAATGCTTGTACTGACACTAATATTAAACTGAACGCTAATATAATTACACATGCCAACGCTGATGCTCAATCCCCGTGGCCCCCTTGGGCATCGGGGGGTCACAAAAATCACGGCGCCCGACTGATTCCGGATCCGGCAGGCCACAAACCAGGACTGAAAGCAATAGACATAAAAATGATACCAGAGAAAAGCCCCAATCAACATCTTTTTAGGCTATAGGGCTATATGGCTATTGGGCTATAGGGCGATGGGGCTATGGGGCTACAGGGCTATTGAACTATAGGGCTATATGCCCATAGGGCTATAAGTCTATGGAATACAGGGCTACAGGGCTATAGGGCCATAGGGCTACAGGGCTGTAGGGCTATAGGGCTATGTGGTTCTCTGGTTCTGGGGCTATAGGGCTATGAGTCTATAGGGCTATGGTGCTACAGGATCCTAGGGCTATAGGGCTATAGGGATATAGGGCTATGGGGCTATAGGGCTATAGGCATATAGAGCTCAGGATCTATGTGGCTATGTGGTTATAGGGCTATAAGGCTATAGGGCTATACGGCTATAGGGATGTAGGGCTATAGGTCTATAGGGCTATTGGGCCGTAGGGGTATAGGGCTATGGGGCTATTGGGCTACAGGGCTGTAGGGCTATAAGGCTACAGTGCTATAAGGCTATAGGGCTGTAGAGCTCTAGGGCCATAAGAAGGCTATAGGGCCACTGGGCTACAGGGCTATTGGGCTATGGGGCTAAGGCTATAGGGTTGCAGGGCTAGAAGGCATCCGGGCACCAGGGCACCCAGGCGGGCCGCAGAAATCGATGACGAAACTCACCTAACCATATGAGTCCGCTAGGACTCCTACAGAGGCAAGCTCTGATAAGGGAACCTTACAGACAAGCTTAGGTAACCATAAGAGTATGATACCGGAGACAAACCCCAATCAAAGTTTTTTTAGGGCTATAGGGCTATGGGGCTACAGGGCGATGGGGCTATAGGGCTATGGAACTATAGGGCTATAGGGCCATAGGGCTGTAGGTCTATAGGGCTATAGGGCTATAGGGCCATAGGGCTGTAGGGCTATAGGGGCTATGGGGCTCGGGGGCTTTGGGGCTATGAGTCTCTAGGGCCATGGGGTTATAGGCCTATAGGACCGTAGGGCTATAGGGATGTAGGGTTATTGGGCTGTAAGGCTGTAGGGCTATAGGCATATAGAGCTATAAAGCTATGGGGATATAGGTCTATTAGGCTATAATGGTATAGGGCTATAGGGATACAGGGCTATACACGGCCATGACAACAGTTTCTTCAATTTGCTATGATGAAGATCTCTCCCATCTCTCTCAATATTCCTAACGTGACATGATGCTGGGATCATTCGGCGGAGTAATTTCCGATCCCGTAGACATTAATAACTCTGTTACCCCAAAACGGGATCGGAAACTACTCCGCGCCAAACCATGTAAATTATCGAGCGGGATGCGATTGCGCGCGGAATAATTTAGTAAAACTACTCCGAACTACTCCGCACGAGCGCGTCATTCCAAAAGGCAAAATGAAAGAAACTTTCGTCACGGCGATGTAGGCCTACAGGGCTATCGGGCTATTAGGCTGTAAGGCTATATGGGGGCTATGGGGCATTAGGGCTACTTGGCTATAGGGCTATAGGGCAGAGGGCCAGAGGGCTATTGGGCTAATTGGGCTATAGAGCTCTAGGGCTCTAGGGCTACAAGGCTATAAGGCTGTAGGGCTATAGGGATATAGGGCTATAAGGCTATAGGGGTATTGGGCTATAGGGCTATAAGGCTACATGGCTGTAAGGCTATATGGCTGTAGGGCTGTAAAACACCTGGGCACCGCCGCGGAAATCGGTGACAAACCTCACCTAACCAGGCACGCTCTGATTGGGGAAAAAGATGGAGGGCAACTTATGCCAGACGCCGCCGACAAGACCTTGCTAGGGAATGTGCTCCTGAATTCTGTACAGTGCAGCGCAGTAAACGTAATGCAACAGTACAACAAGGGATGCGGGTGCCAGGGGGCAGTGTAGATGCAAGGCAAGTGCGCAGGCATTGCCCATTCACCGCAGCGCCTGGACAACATCGACAATAATGAGGCTCCTAGCAGGACCCAGCTTACTCCTACACTGGACTCATCGAGGTAGCCCTCATCGCTGCAGAGCTCACCACGACTGCCCACTGTGTGCCATCAGGCACAGGTGCTGTAGCAACTTGTGAGCAAGAAAACAGTGGCAATCGTACTGAGCCGCTAAAATTCGCAAATGACGGATGCGTTCCGCCACCGGGCGCTCGGCACATTCGGGCGTGTGAGTGTGCCTGTCGGCTGCCTGGTAGGGTGCGGCTTCGCAGGGCCATCCCCTGGCAGCAGGCGGTTTCAGAAAAGACGTTTATGTTTGGCTCCCCAGAGCCTAAGGCTGTCCTGAGGCGGCCCGAAGTCGCCCCAGCATCAACCCTCAACGTCTCCTTGACGATGGGAGAGCGAACGTTTTGAAGAACATACAGATGTTCAATGTCTGTGCTTTCCCGCCCAAGATGGCCTCAAGAAGGTCTCAGAGATCCTGAAGGTGGTCCCAGAGGGCCCCACCATTCCCCAGATCAGGTTTTTCAATACAGCCAAGACAGCCCAAGACGTCCTCGAGAGAATTCCAAGACGGCCCAAAAACGGCCCCTAGATGGTTTTACCGAGCCCCTTCGGCAAAACTCGGTAGAAAAATGGCGCCCCAAACGGCCCGGAGACCCCCGACAGGCCTTCCGAAGGAGGCACCCCGTACACCGCCAAGAAGCTTTCAAACGAAATCAGAACTAATGCAAAAACTACTGCGCAACGCTAGGGCCAAGCTCGGTAACAAAATCGTGGCGTTGCTTCCTAGACTCCCGCAATATGCTTCTAGAGAGCCTTTCGGGAGAGCTCGGTAGAACTGTCCTGAATGTGTTTCATTGCTGCACCACTGGCACGTTGGCGGCATGTGCCGCAGGCAACTGGATCTAGGCATGCACAACCGAAGAGGCTCTATGGTAACTGCTCATTCGTTCTGGCTTCATCTGACCCTGCGGCCCTCTTGAGGCCTCTTAGACCTGGAGCCTCCTGGGGCGTTCTGGTGCCTCCAGGTGGCGTCCTGAGGGTCTCCGGGGCCTTCCTGAGAGGGGGGGGGGGCTCGGCGCCATAACGCCGCTCGATGTTGGAGTAACTAATCGCCGATTTCGCCAAAATCGGCCAATGCCCGCGACGCTTTGTGGACCCTGGGGCCCTCCTGGGGCCTCCTGGAGCCTCCTGGGGGGCTCCTGGCGGGGGGGTTTTCGTTGCCGCTTGCGATATATATATATAATATATATATATATATAATATATATATATATATATATATGTATAATATATATATATATATACACACGTATTCCTGTACATGTATATGTATTCCCTCAGCATGCGTTATACGTATGCAAGTGGTGCCTATTGCACATGGACGTGATTGCTGCCTGTCGCTGGTGCATGTTATTTATTCACGGCTGTTTGTTTATGCCAAAGTCTTGGCGAATGTTCCTCTTGATTGCTTTTGCTGTAATGTGTGTTCCCATTTACTTGTCTCATGTGTGCTGTCCACGTATATTATGGAGGATCGCCATTGGTGCGTACTGCGAGTGTATGGTCCGTGTGCTCGTTCTTGACATGTGCTATTGATTCGTGTCGTGATTACGGTTATTCACGCACGTTCTTAACGTCTCTTGTGCCTGTATTTTCAGATGTTTGTTATTGACGCATGTTCCTGGTGCATGGTCATGGTGTCTGCTCTTGAGTTTTATCGTTGTTCACTCATGGGTGTAATGGTGTCAGTTGTCAATGGAAAATCGTGATGTCTGTCATTGCTGTCTGTCTGCTCTTAGTATATGTTATGGATGTGCGTTCTGATCGCTGTGATTCGTGTGTAGCTCGTGCATGATACGGCCAGGCCCAGGGAATAATAAGATCATATCCCGCATGATTTATTCAATCTGTGCGCACAACGCAGAATTCAACTCCACCATTCCACGAGCTCTGTGCAATTGACTAGCTCATCGAACTGTTTGATGACATCCCCTTCGTACCCGCAGCCAGGGCGAGCCGTTCAGCGCAAAACCGCACACATAATCTCATGTCCAATACATTCATATATTCAGATCCGGCTTTTCGTCTTCCATACGCGAAGGCTCCTTGTAGAAGTAGAGGCAGACGGAGATGCATGCGAGCGTGGCGATGCCGGCGCGGATTGCGCCCTGGCGAAACCTTGGCCGGACGCCCCTCCCTCTAGACAGGTCTAGACAGCCCAGAGATAACGAGCAAGCAGCAGAGCGAACACGTGCAACATCGCTGTAGCAAGCCTGCAGAATAGCAGTGGATTGTCTGTGCATGCGCTTACTGAGCACGGCCGCTTCGCGCACACCCGCTTCGCTGCTGACGCGCGAGGTATCTCAGTATGTTCTCCTGTGTGCTGCTGGCTTGCACATTGGGTGCGCGTGAGCAGAGCATGAGTATGGCCAGTCGCTAACTACGTGCGCTGAGGCAGGGCCGCTAGGCTGGATCCGTTTCCCCGAGCAAGCTGATGACGAGCTGTGCAAACCGTAGCCAGCTCGGAGCTGAAGCCGAAGAGTGCGACCTTCGAGGGTCCCGAGCAAGGCGCGCATGTGTCATCGAAGGCTTTGTGCAGGAGACGTGACGAGATGAGACGCCGAATGCGCCCCAGAGCAGGGCCGTGGCCTTCAGATGGCGATGAGTGTTTATAAAATCTTCTGTAGACAAAGATCTACAAAATGTTTCAGGATCTTCGGTGAGCGAAGATGACCAGATAACATGCGTGAGTTCTCCCACCTCGCTTTGGCTTACCATGGGGCCTCTTCACAAATAGCGGAGCACGAGCATGTGGACGCCCGAAATGGGTACAGGAAAAATGGGTACAATGCCCAGCAACAAATGTTGTCCAAAACCAACAGCGGCCGCTGTTGGGCAGGCGGCCTCTGTTTCAAGAGGACAACGTCCGCGGCGACACCGACAGCGAGTACTGTTCAAATGAACAGGAAATGCTGCCGATCTTTGTACCCAGTCTTTCCGTACCCATGTCGATCGTCCCGCGATCGTCGGGAGGAGCAAAAGCCGTCGGACGCTCCTCAAGACACACTCGGAACAATGCCAAGCTCACCCGGCCCCTGCAGGACGCCGCCTGGGAAGCGGACGTGGCCAGAAGCAAACTGCTCGGCGTCCGGGCCTCGGGACGGCACCGGGGCTCCCAAATCAGGGGATATTGGAAAATTGGGCACCCGCTTCGGAGACCTCTCGGGGGTTGCTGAAGGTGCCCCTGGCCCAAGGTACCCCCAGCTGTTCGCTCCGTTTTGGAACCCGTGGGGCCCCGTGGGCCTCGTGAAGGGCGCTCTGAAAACCATGGGGGCCTCCATGGAAATCCTGGGAACACCCTGGTCCCGGTGCAGTTTTAGCAGCACCTGATTCGGGCACCTCGGGAAAGGTCGCGCGGCGAAATCTTCGAATGCCTAGGAACGCATGGGAAACCCGGAACAGGGGGCCGATGGACGCTCCTCAAGACACGCTCGGAACAGTGCCAGGCTCATCAGGCCCCTGTTGGAACACTGAACTCCGACAGGGATCTTATTGGACTGAGGGACGACTGGTGATGAGAACAAGCGCGCCGACACTGGTGGACATCGAGGAACGACGAAAGGCACGACCTCAAGACAAGTGGTGGCCGCGACGGACGACGACTTGAAGCTGGATGACTTACCCCAAACCGCCGTGCGGCGGGCGAGCGACGGGCGAACTTTGCGAAACTTATAGAAGAACGTGCACGTTGGATCTGCGCTGGACCCCCCTTCCTGGCGCGCGGAACGCGCCAGGGGCGGCGCCAGAGGCGCCGCCAGGGTGGTCCAGCGCCGATCCAAGAAATCCGCGCTGGGTTCCGACAGTGTATGCTTATGCGTTTGTTTCGAACTTACTCACGTGGGCGACGAAAACCTGATATTGTCACGAACCCCGACCTTGGAGGACAAGTGGGCGTGAATTGCGAGACGGAGAAAAACGAAGAAGAGGATGCCTACAGGACGCATTCAGCTGGTTCCCTTGTTGTTCGTTTGACGCTGTGCCGCTTTGTCGAGGCGCCTCCAGCCGTCGTGGGGCCATCTTAGGGCTGTCCTGAGGCCCTGTTGGGCGCTTCTGGGGGCTTGCTGGAGACCTCCTAAGGTGAGCTCAATGGAAATTGCCATACGAGCTAGGAAGTCTCGGGGCTGTCCGTTTGTCGCTGTGAGGCTTTGTCGAGGCACTCCCAGCAGTCCTGGAGTCGTGGGGCAGTCCTGGGGCCCTCTTGGGCGCTTCTGGGGGGTTCCTAGAGGCGTGGAGAGGCCTTGAGGCTTGTTGGGGTCGTCTTGGGGGCTTCTTGGGGCCTCCTCAGGTCCTTCAGCCGTCCTGGCGCCCTCCTGAGGGAGTCCCAGGGCTGTCCGTTTGTCGTTCTGACGCTTTGTCGAGGCGCTTCCAGCAGTCCTGGGGTCTTGGGGCAGTCCTGGGGCCCTCTTGGGAGCTTCTGGGGGCTTCCTGGAAGCATCTTGAGGTCTTGAGGCATCTTGGGGTCTTCTTGGGAGTCTCTCGGGGTCTCATCACGTTGCCGTGTTGTCCGTTTGACGCTGTGAGACTTTGTCGAGGAACCACCAGCCGCCCTGGGGTTATCTTGGGGCAGTGCTGCGTCCATCTTGGGCGCTTCTGGGGGCTTGCTGGAGGCCTCTGGAAGGTTATTGGGGGCCTTTTGGGGCCTCTTCAGGGGTTATTGGGGCCTCTTGGGAAATGCTTAGGAGCTTCTGGGGGCCTCTGGAGGGGTTATTGGGCCGGAGAACCCGAAACCTCGGATTTCGTCGGAGGTTGCGTCGGGAACGTTTATGAAGAAAAGGTGGCCAAGAAAACGATGATGCGTCTTGGAAGTGGGCTCACCACGCGACTAGGCGAGTTACGAGGTGAGCTCAGCACGTGTCCATGCGAGCCGCATGGAAGGGAGGGGGTGAGCTCAGCTCGAGACCACGCGAGTCACGAGGTGAGCTCAGCACGTTTCCATGCGAGCCACAGGGAAGGGAGGGGGGGCGGTTGCATATGACGGGCGAGAAACTTGAACTTGGAGAATCTGGATCTGGGGGCTCCTGGGGGCAGTCGGGTTTGGTTGGAGGTGTCGGGGTCGTGTCTGACTCTATGAGGACTGGATTGGACAGCGTGCGGCGGTCGGGGGCCGCATGCGGCCGTATTGAAGGAAGCCTCCTGGAGGCTTCTTGTAAGGTTTTCTGGCAATACGAAAAGTCGCTTGGGGTTTCTCTGCGACAGCTGTCCAGAGGGAAAGGCGTCCAGAAAAACAACGGTGCGTCTTGGAGGTGAGCTCAGAACGCGACCATGCGAGCCACGGGTTGAGCTCAGCACGTTTCCATGCGAGCCCAGAAGAGGAAGGCCAAGGTGCGCATTACATTGGGGCGTTCTTTGGGACCTCTTGGGCCGCTTGGAGTGGCGGGAAGCCGAAAATGCAAGAACCCCAGAAACTTTCGAAAACCACAGGAAAACTAATGATTTTCTATGTTTCGGGCTCTCCTGGAAAGTCTCTTGGGGGCCTCTCGGGGCGTCTTTTGGGCTTCTTGGGGCGTCGGGGCGCCATATTGGATGTCTTGGGCCGATCTTTCGGCCACTCGAGGCCTTCTTGAACCTTCTTATGGACCATCTTGGGGCCGTCCGTGCGTCTCGGAAGCGCAGCGCGTCACCGGAAATGGGGCCGTGTCCTGCCGCCTTCTGCCGTTTTCCGCCGGCGTTCCGCCCGTGGCCGGGGCCATCTCCCAGGGGGGTCCCCTCCCCGGACCCCCCCGGGGGAACGCTGAACGGGAACCCCTCCGCCAGGTAGGGGAAAAAAGGGCCTTGCGCGAGATGGCAGAGCGACTCCGCGCGGTGTTTTATGCGGACCGCCAGCGCGGCATGCCACAACTGGGGGCGAGGGCGCTTTCTCATGACCTTCCGCGGGAAAATTGCGCGCGAATGTCGGCGCAATTGAACGTGATTTAATCGCTCACGTACAGCTGATGAAAACAGCATGTTATCTTTTCCTCGTGAACTCGGGCGTTACCTTGAACCTGTTAATCAGCTTTTGATCTGGATATTATTGTACGCACATGATCTTCTAGAGGTTGTCCTAAGATTCCGCCTCGTAGGGGATGTGTTCGTTGCCGTGCTTAGTATGTCCGTTAAACAAGTCTGCTATAACAGGTGTGTAAGCCGGCCGGCCGAAGGGAGGAGAGGCCAGATGCTCTTTCCCGTCAGCAGAAACTGCTGCGTTAATATCAACGCTTTGCCCCGCCAAGCCTCGCTTGGAGGGGATAGGCGGAGCGGCAAATATAGCGAGGGGAGAGTAATTTACTAATGACTCCCCCCGCGGTCGGCCCAGCGCGGGGACTCCGCGCGCGGGCGGGCGTCAGCCTGTAGCCGACGTCGCAAGCTGCGGCGGGACGCGCCAGCCCGAGTTCGGCACGCCCCGAAGGGAATTCATCAACTTTTGCTTTTTCCCAAGGCACTAGGGCCCCCGCAGTGCAAGCAGCAAAAAGCTTTTACAGCGCGCGCGGAAGGGGAAAGAGTACCCCTGACAGAGCCCTGTGGGACAGGCCAAAATGGGCCGGCGAGTCCCACGTAGATAGGGGCGCGCCGGCGCAGGCCGCCCAGCGATCGGCTCATGATGCCATCGAAGAAGCCTGCCGCCACGCCGCGGTCCACGCCAGAACGCTCGGAGCACAGCTCCATGGCTTTCAGGGAGCACTCAGAGCACAGCACTGAAATGCCCCGCCAATCACTCTATCTCTTCACCAATATTTGTCCTCGCCCCACTGATCGTCGCGGCCCCGGCTCTGCCAATTGCCCAGGCCCCGCCCTGAGCTAATCGACGGCCAGCGGCCCTGTGAATCCCGGCGCAACGGAGGGCGCGGATCTTGTACCTCCTCCGCAGCCCACAGTAGGATGTCCGTGTACTGGCAGCTCACCGCCGTGGGCTCTGGGGCAGAACTCGATGATGCTGCCGCCGACAATGATCGCCTGGGATGGAGCTCCCAGAACGTCGGCTCCGCCTCTGGCGACGCGCGGCAGCCTGCCGATTCTGTGGTCCCTTCACGACGCTTCACCCCTTCATCTCTGGTGCATCCTTGCCCGCTGCCACCAGTGGGCGCGCGCGCCGTTGGCGGGCGGTTCCAGGGCTGGGTCGACGACGGGCGCGTGCCGCC